TCACGATACTCGTCCAGGTAGAGGGAGCGGAAGCCCAGGAAGCCGCGGTGACCAAAGAAGAGGACGGAGCGGTTGGTGCCTAAAAGCTCTGCCAGGAAGAGATGAAAGCATCAGCAGAAGCCAGCCCAGCCCCAAGGGTTCCTCTGAGCTGTTGCTTCTGAGTATCATGGAGTTGTCCTGGAGTCAGCAATGCTGCTCACAGCCACTCCAGACTGCAGCATGTGTCTCCATCCCTTCCTGGAGACATGAACATCCCAGCCTCAACCCGGCTGGCGTGCTGTTCTCCGTGCCAGCCAAGGACAAAGCTGCAGAGCCAACAAGCAGCAGGGTCCCAGGCAAGGTTGCCACCCTCAGCAAGGTTTGGCTGAACCACTCCAGACTCCTACTGCAGCCGTGCCACAGCAAGCTGGGCTGTGCCATCAGCCCCAGGCTGGGCTCACACAGAGCTGGGATGGTGGTGAGACCGGACACAGGGTGGACAGAAGGCAGGTCCTGTCCCTGCTGAGTGCCAGCCAAGGACACAATAGCAGGCACCCGGCCAGTGCCATGGGGAAACTGCCAGACAAAGCCCGCTGCTGCCACTGCCACCAGAAGTCACTGATAGGAAGGCTGTATCCCTGTGGTACAGATGAGGCACTTGGGGAGAGGCACCAGCACAGGGGCATCCCTGGGATGGACAGGTTGCATCCCTGGGATGGACATCACATCCCAAAGCAACAGGGTCTGACAGTCAAAGTCCCCAAAGCAAGCCCAAACCTGAATCTCGTGGGATGCCAAGGGGACCCTCACAGTGACGATGACACGGGGGCAGTGGCTCGACTGAATTCCAGTGGGAAATTACTTTCAGGGTCATCAAGCCGGCATGGTGGCGCCCACACAGCTTCCACAGCTGACAGAGGGAGAGGGCCAGAGGGAATTGCTCAGCTTTGTGGGGCTCTGAAAACCCATCCCGACCCCAGGCCAGGCCACTGTGCCTGCCAGACAAAGAAGGAGGAGAAGGACAAAGCACCATTGATGAGCACAGCTCTGTCCCCAAACACCCTCCAGCCCAGAAGAGCGCCGGCCACTGCTGCTGACCCCAGGGAAACACCCAGCCTGAGCGTCTCTCACACATGTCCCTGTAAGGGGGAAGGTGGTACTGGGACAAATCCAGTCACCATGGGTCAGGACACTGGGGTACCAAGTCCTGCTCTTGCTGGGAAGACATTTGTCACTTCCAGCAAGGAGATGGCCAGCGACATAATGCCCCATCCTGGTGAGAAATGCCTCATCTAGGTCCTGCAAGGGAGACAAGGTCCATCCCAAGCTGGAGACGACACCTTCACCCCATGACACATCCTATCCCTGCTCAAGGGCAGTCCCAGTCCCCTAACTGCTGATGCCAGTGGCACAGAGGATATAGTCCCAGCGGCTCCATCCTCATCCTCCCCGTGCTTGCAAGCAGAGCTGGCTCCAGGCAGTGGTGGTCCCTCCACCCAGGCTGGTACCCTCCTCCCGGTGCCCTCCCAGCATCAGGTCCTCCCGTATCGCCGCGTCCAGCCCAGGAAAACGCTGTCGGCTCCTTCTATTCTTGCTCAGCAATAATATTTTCCCAGGTCAAAACAACACTGGCAAAGCCGGCAGGCTCCCTTCATTGTTTCAGGCAAGGCTTCCCCTTCTCCCCCAGACCTGGCGAATTCCTCCTGTGCCTCGGGTTACACTGGCTCAGGGCGCCTTCCTCTTCAAGTCCCCAGGGAGCAGCCCCTGCCGTGCCCCATCCATCCCTGGGACACCTTTACCCCAGGGTGGGGCTCCCACGGGAGCCACCCCCCAGTGGGGGTCCCTCGGGACAGACAGCAAAGAGCACAGGGCAATGCTTCTGGTCCACACAGCAGCAAAATGCTCTTTTCCTCTCTTACATGAGCCACTGCTGAACGTAGAAACAAAAGGAAAAGAGTGGTTTAAAGTGTGAGGGAGAGCTGAGTGCATGGCCACCACTGCACCCACAGCACAACGCCTGTCCCTGTCACCCCCCAAAGTCACCTCACAGCCAGGGCCACCAGGCACGCAGAGCCCAGGTCGAGGCGCTCTGCACAAACAGCTTCAGCTCACCATGGTTTTTTTTATTTTCAGAGGCTCTAATGTCTTTAATTGAAATTTTCTTTTTTTTTTTTTTTTTTCTTCCCCCGGGGAGAAGGCGGTGGCACAATTTGTTTCATGGGAAATTTCAGTTTCTGTTTCCAATTTGGAAGACGAATGGAATAATCAGCTTAAGGGGAGAAAAAAAAAAAAAAAAAAAAAAAAAACCCAAAAAAAAGCTTCCAAAGGTGGCTCGTTCCCCGTGGGAGGCTGAGGAGGTTCCACCCCGCCCCGGGCAGCTCCTCGCACCTGGGAAACGGCCCCGCACGGCTGGACTTTGTGCTGGAGTGGATCAGACACTGAGCCAGACCCTGAGCCCCACGATTCTCCTGCTGAGACCCCAAATCTCCTCGCCCTGCTGCCAAACCCAGCCTGAGGACACCGGATCGCATCACGGGGCAGAGCCATGAGCCATCCCGGGCTCCCAGGGTAAGGGGATGGGGGGGCTGCGTGCCTCAGTTTCCCGTTTAAGAGAGAGGCAGCCCCTGGGGTGACCTGCTGTGCCCCAGGACAGAGCAGGGGGTGCAGCCAGACTCGGGAACCCCTAGCCCAGGCAGCATAGGAGCAGACTCTCCCTGGCACTGCAGCTCCCGAGGCTCTGGAACTGCTGGGCTGCCCGGGTCTTTCCCCCTTCTGGAAAGGAAGGGGGAAGATATAGGTTATGCAATTTATTTTATGTTGATTTTTTTAGAGCAGGTTCGTTGCTCTGAGGCCGGGAGGAGATTGGGGCGCCCCAGGCTCTGTCAAGTTTGGCTGGAGCAGCACATGGATTAGGTTGGCAGAGCAGGGGATGCGGCGAGCCAGAGCAGGATCACAAAGAGAGTTTTAATTAAAACCAAGCAGTGCCCCCGCAGCCCCCGAGGGGCCCCGGCACCCAGCACCCGCACCCCAGTGCCACGGGGCTCGCAGCCCGGGGACCCCCCCACCCAGCCGAGGGCAGGATGCTGAGCACGGGGGATCCACCCGGGCACCGCAGCACCCACCCAGCACACGAGCCAAAGCGTGCCGGGGGCAGAACGCCGCCGTGCCTCAGTTTCCCCGCGTGGGAGACGATCCCCCATGGGAAGCGACGGGGCCGGCGCGGAGCCCGGTGGCGCATCCCCTGTCCCCTTCACCCGGCTCCTCTCTTCCTCCTCCTCGGGGGAAGGGGAGACGTCCCGCGTGGGGAGCGGAGGGTGCCGAGCAGCCAAACCCCGAAACCGCAGCCCAGCCCGAGCCCCCAGCACAATTTGCCCACCGACCACACCAAGAAAAACCCCGCACTTCGGGTGCAGCGCCCGCAGCTGAGGCTCCCCAAGTCCCCACCCGGCCCCCGGAGGGGGGACCCTGAGGACACCCCTCCGTGGTCAGCCCCCCCGTCCCGCAGCAGGTGCCCCCGGCCCGGCTCACCGCGGTAGGACAGGCGGAGCCGGGGCAGGCTGTGCCCCGCCGCCCAGAGCCAGCACAGCGACACCGCCACCGCCACCGCTGCCCGCATCCCGCCGCCGCGCCCTCGGCCGTCGGTGGCATCGAGCTTTTATGGGGCCGACATCCGACCGCCCCCGGCCCGCCCCGGCCCGCCCCGGCCCCGCCAAACCCCAGCCCTGGGCGGCGGGGATGCGCGGGGGGACGGCCCCATCGCCCGCGGGGACCCTGAGAACTCCTCACACCTCCGAAGTGTCCCCTGTCAGCATCGCTTTAGGCCTTACTGCAGACCCCTTCCCCAGAAGTGACCCTGCCAGCACCTCGTCCCTGGGGATGGGGAGCAAGGGAGGGAAGCTCTGGTCCCCCAGCCTCGCGCTCCTGGGGGAGTAGGAGACGACAGACAGACCTGCCCCCCGAGAAGGATGCTGAGCGTCGTGTGATCTCCAAGCACCAGCAAACACGCAGCTGTGAGGTCCCATCTCAGTGCCAGGTAAGCTGGGGACATCAGGCCAGCGGGGGAAGAGGACTGAGTAGGGTCGAGGGGGACACACATAGCACACACCGACAGGGCAGGGGATGCACCACTGTCTGCCTGCAAAGGTGCCAGCACCCTGGGCAAGGATCCTGGCCAGCAAGGAGCCCATGGTACCCACACCACTCCCATGCCAACCTCCCCCAGGGCTGCTGGGCCGTGGGATGTGGTTGTACGAGACCTCAGAGAATCCCTGCTCATCACATGGCAGGTGTGTCCCGCATCCAAAAACCTTGGACTTCCCCCTGCACTGGATGGAGGGGAAGGAGCAGAGGAGCTGGTGACTTCTTCCTCGGTGCTTTGTCACCACCAGCCTCATCTCTTCCCCATCCCAGCACGGGGCAGCCTCATTATCCCCAGCCCCACAAGGGTTCCAGCAGCTCTCTTAAATAAAACAGAGGTCAGGAGGCCAGAGGGTCCTGGCTTACCCCCAACCTTTTGTAGTGGAGCAGCTCTGGAAGTCTCCTGAGCAGTGTAAAACCACCCCAATTCGCTCAGTGGGCCCTTGGTTTCCCCAAGAAACCGCATGGCTGGGACAGATCCCACACCCCGGGGCGCTGGGGAGCCACACAGGGCTGGGAAGCAGCGGGGAGGAGATGCAGCCGATGGCAGCTCTGGCAGGTGAGCAGAGGTGCCTGCCCAGGCCCGCTGCTGCCTGCCCTGACCAGACGGGCTCTGGAAGCTGCAGAAGCTCTGGAGGGAGGAAGGGAAGGAACAAATGAAGCCCAGCACCAGTGCCCCGAGGCCCATCGGGAGCAGAGGCCCCTCAGCCTGCCCGGGCAGGATCCTGCCCGCACTGCTGTCATGCAGGCAGTGAGCCCAGGGGAGGAGAAGCACCCCAGCAAACTGCACTGCATGAGGAAATCTGCAGTGCCTGTGGGCAGCACCATCATGGACAGACAGACAGACAGACAGACAGGCCACCCTGCTCCAGGCTGTGCTTACCAAGGAGATTTATTGATAGGGAGGGTGGGCAGCACTAGCCCCAGCTCCCCCAGCAAGTGGGCAGGGAGGCAGGACAAGGCATGGGGAGGCAGAGTGGGGCACTGGCCAGCCCCTCACCACCCAGCCAGTGCAGCCAGAGATGGCACAGGGACAGGAAGAGGCACTGACAACACCAGGAAAGGCTGGAGGCACCTGGGCATGAGGCTTTACTGGCACCTGGCCAAGGGGGACACAACCCTGCAGGTGTCACCATCAGGCCAGCCCTGAACATAACCAACACGGCATGATGCCATCCATCTAAATCCCCAGCACGTTAGCAGGTTTATGCTGTGCCCAGCCCCTGCCCCTCCTTTTAAAGCCTTGGGTCTCTCTGCTTGGCACCCCCTTCCTGCCCCTCGCTGGGCACTCAGCCCTCGGCGGGCAGCGGGGACACTGAGGCCAGGGCAGTCAGGAGACGGGCGTAGATCTCGATGCCCCTCAGGAAGACTTGCTCGTTCAGGAACTCGTTGTGGTCATGGAGCAGCACTGGGGTGCGGTTCATGGGTGAAAAGCCAATAGCAGGGTGTCCTGCCTGGAGATGGGGAAACATGGAGTGAGGTCAGAGCTGGCATGGGCACCACATGCTCCCTTTCACCTGGACACAGCTCCTGCTTGGGGCTGCAGGTCTCACCCCAGGTGAGGGACCTGTGGCAGGCTGGCACCACACTCACCGCTCGGATGTAGCGGCTGTCAGTGGCAGCTGGGAAGATCTCAAGCTTGAGCTGCAGCTTCCTGTCAAGAGAGACCCTGTGTCAGCATGGACAGTCGAGTCCCTCGTCCTACTTACACCCCATGGGAAAAGAGACCTGACATGACCTCAGAAACCCGTAGGGACCACCTGACTTCATGTCCCTTCTTGGGGACACTACTTACATGTCCTTACAGACCCCACTGAAGGCCTTCCACCATGGGTCCGACTCCTCCGTGGAGGTGATGTGTTGGTCCATGCATTTCTGACAAGAGGGAGAGGGCAGATGAAGGGGCGAGGGGGTGGCACTTGGCAGAAGAGGGACAGGCACAATATGCCCAGGTGGCTGAGATCCCTCACCTGGTGGAACTCATAGGTGACACCATCCCCGGCACCACGGCACCATGTGGCCACCTGTTCCTCGAAGGCCTGGGACAGAGACCAGAGGAGGGGTGTGAGCAGGGTACCCTCATCCCACTCTTCTCCTGGGTGAGGCTGGCACGGTGCCCACCTTCAGGTCCACGGTGGGTGGGATGCGGATGTCAAAGCCAGCAGCCATCTCGGAGGGCACCACGTTGAAGGAGACACCCCCCTCCAGCATTGTCATGTTGAGAGAGGTGACATCCCCTAGGGTCAGGCTTGAGTCGGACTTGAGCCTTAGGGGATGCAAGGGACAGTCACTATCTGCCACCTGGGGAGAAGTGCTTCCCTGCCATCACCCAAAATGGGGAAACTGAGGCACAGGGCAGCAGTGCCAGATCACAGCTTGGCTTGAGATCCCAAAGGCCCCCTCCAGGACTGAACTAAGCCACTGCCATCCTGCTGCCCATCTCCTACCTCTGCTTCTCGCTCTCCCTGAAGGCCAGGAAGGAGCTGATGACTTTGTGCTGGGGAGGGAAGAGCAGCAGGTGAGGAGCAGCCCCATGGGCAGGTGCCTGGCAGCGCAGGGCAGGCATGGGGGTGCACAGAGGGTGCACAGGGGGTGCACAGGGGGTACCCCCTCTTACCATCTTCTCAGCCGCCGTGTTGCTGATGAAGCGGGACCCGTGCCCGGGGCTACCCATGCACTTCACCTTTATCCCTGCAGCAGCAGGCGTAGAGGGAAGGGTTGAGCAGGAAGCCTGGGATAGCATCAGTGCCCAGGAGAGCCAGGGATAGGGCAGTGGACACACAGATACTCACACCATGGGCTCCTCTCGCCATAGAAAACGCTGAAGGTGTCAGATGGGCTGGCCAGGCCTGTGGTAGGCACAGACAGGGGGTCAGTGGGGCATGGGGGTACCATGATGTGCCCCCTCTGCTCTGTCCTGGCAGTATTTTCCTCCAGGTTGGCATCGTGTGGGTCACTGCCCAGGGGAAGGATCCCCCAAGGGGGTCCCTGGAAGCACGTGGGATGCTGGTGCCTGCCTGGGGAGTGATGCCAAGAGGAGTGTGTGCCAAGAGGAGACACGTCCCTGTGCCAGCCCTACCGCTACTCACCCTCATCCATGGCAAAGCCCACGTTGAGTGCTTTGAACTCAGGGCGCTGCACGAACATCTCCATGCCCTTGTGTCCGCCCACCTCCTCATCTGTGGGGGAGAGCCTGGCGTGGAGGAAGGAACTGGGGCATCCCCCAGCCCACCACACCCAGTCCTCCTTCCATGCCAGCCTGGATGCCATCAGCACACCTGATGTCCTTGGACATGGAAACCTCTCCAGCCTTGAGCTAGGGGAGGTCGATACCTGGGGAGCCTGGCTGGGTGGTGCCATGGGAGACTCCAGAGCACCACCCAGCTGCCAGCCCCTTCTGTACCTCCTGAGAGGGGACAGCCTGGGGACTCACCAGGCACAAAGGTGAGGTGGATGGTGCGGGCAAAAGATTTCCCTTCTGTCTTCAGCCTCCGGATGGCCTCAAGGTACCTTGCAAGGGAAGGTAGTGTACGGTCATTGTGCAGGAGAGGGGTTTGCGTGCTCTGAGCCACCTCAGGGCAGGTCAAGCAGTAGCACCTCTGGCCCCAGTGACCCTGGGGATAGTGGCATCCTGTCCTGCATCACTCAGAGACACCACCAGCACCGTGCTCACCCAGCAGGTGCAGAGCCCTCCACTCACTGGATGGAGACACACTTCATATCCTGGGCACCTCGGGCGTAGATGTTGCCTTGTGAGTCTTTAACTGCCTCGAAAGGCGGGTAGGTCCAGTGCTCCTGCAGGGAAGAGCGTCCACGATGGCAGAGTGGCACAGAGGGGACCAGCCCCACTCCACTCCATCCTCCTCTCCGTGCCCTTCCCACCCCTCGTCCTGTCCCAGCACCTCGAAGACAGGCACGACGTCGGTGTGGGAGTTGAGAAGGATGGAGCGCAGGCGGGGGTTTGTGCCCTGCCAGGTCAGGATCAGCACCACACGGCCCTGGCACACCTGTGGGATGAAGGCAGGATGTCACCAGGGTCCAGGATGGGGACAGAAAGCCTTAGACCAGCAGGCTGGAGCCAAAAAGCATCAGCTTGGGAAAAGTCTCTGGATGCCACCTGCCACCCCTTTCTCCGCTGGGAAAGGGCAGGCAGCAGGAGCAGGCCTTCCTGAACCCCCAGAGCCAGACAAAGCCCGGCTGCAGGTGGCAAACCTGGCTGCCATTCAGAGGGGAGACAAACCCAGCATCTTCCCCTGGTGCCTGGGAGTCTCCCAGGACATCCTGCCCAGCAGGACAGCCCCAGCCAATGTGACACTGCCAGGTCCCCAGCTAATCATAGCACAGGCAGCTGCAAAGGTCAGCAGGGAGCAGCCAGAACACTGGCTTAAGGAAGGGCTCAGGTCAGCAGAGGATTACAGGCAGAGGGGATTCACTCCTGTCCAGCTCTGCAGGCAGGCAGATGGATGGATGGGTGGACAGACTGAAGGCTGCTTCTCATCTTGCTCACCTCCACTTTTTGGCAGGCCAAGCCCAGGTCGGTGCCCACACGCTCCAGAAACCGGACAGCCGCATCTGGAGGAGAGTGAGGATGCCCAGAGTTACGTCAGTTACATCATTGCAAACCCCCAGGGACCCCAAGGCACTGTGGGGTTCTCAGACCAAGGAAAGAGGTGACAAGAGAGGAGAAGTGCTGCAGGTTCTGGACACAAGAAGTGGCCATGAGCAGCTCATCACCATCCCTTTGGGGTGAGGACTTGGGAAATATGAAAAAAAAATAAATTGAAGGGGGGTGAGTTCAGGGGGAGTGTTTCACCAGTGGAATTTAGGGATCTCCTCACCAGTAAAGTGCACTTTAGTGGGAAGACATAAATGTTATCAGAAGGAGACCTACACAGAAGGACATCCCCATCCCAGAGCCAGGGCAGCATGGAAAGGGGGGCAAGGGGCACAGGGCTAGAAGAAGCAAACAACAGCTCTGAGGGCACCTGAGACATTCCTGCCCTAACCAAAGACACCAGCAGAGATAAGGCACAAAGGAGTTCGCTCCTTAACACCACAATCAAAACACCCCAGTACAGGACTTGGGCACATGGATCCAAAGGTCAGAGCTGCAAAGCCACATTACCCCATTCCCACCTGGCTCCCCATCCCGTCTCCCCAGTCCTCACCATAGTCAGGTTTAGGGTGGACAGTGTCAATCCTCAGGTACTCCCGGAAAAGTGTAACCGAGGGGTTCTCTGAGGCCCCCGTGCTCTTCCCAGGCTTCCCAGGTGCCATATCTGGGCCCAGGGCTGCAAAGCTCTGGGGAAAGAGCTGCAAGATGGTTAATCACCCACTGGCCCCTCCAAAGTCCACCGGCATGCTTGGTCGTCATAGAAACCAAAGGGCGATGGGACAAAGGTCTCGTGGGACTCCTGGGAGAGTCTCAGAGAAATGCCCCCCACTTGGGTACAGGGCAGGATGGGGCATGCCCCCCACACTGGCCTGTCATTCTTCCCCCAAAACACATGTTCCAGCCCCAGATATAGTGCCAGGATGGGCTACGATGCTCTGGCAAGGACTGAAATCCAGGGAAGGGCTAGCTGGGAGGAAAGGGGGACAAGGGTGGGGGAGTATGAAGGAGGGGAAAGGGGAAGAAGGGTATGTTGGGTAGGGAGACATGGTAGTTGGGATTAGCCAGGGGTTAGAGGTTTGTGGGAATGCTGGGGGATGCAGGCAGGGAAGGCGGGATGCTGGTGTAAGGGGGCGCAGGCAGGAAAAAGGGGCAACTGCCTGGCTAGCGGGTGCAGGAGAGCTGCAAGGAAAGGCTCTGGGGGTGCAGGGAAATGGGGGTGGTGAAGGGGGATAGAGTGTTAACAGAGGATAGAGGTACTGGGGGACCACATTAGGGTGACAGGCTACTGTGGGAGGTGTTTGAGGGAAGCTGGGTGGCTGGAGGAGCAGGAGGATGTGGGGTACTTCGGGGCACATGGGGGCTCAGCAGGAGGGGTGAAGGCAAGCACGGGGAGGGTATGGGAGCAGAGGGTGCAGGGAGGCTATGGGGGGTGCAGTGGGACTGTGGTTAGGGGTGCAGGGGTACGGTGTCTGGGGGTGCAAAGGGGCAGAGGTGGGGTATAGTGGTACCATGGCTGGGGTGCAGGCAGGGGGCACAGTGGGGTACAGAAGTTCTGCAGCTGGGATGCAGGGACACCATGGTTGGAGTTGTGGGCAGCGCAGAGTCCCGCGGGTAGGGCTGCAGAGGTACTGTGCTCAGGGGGTTAGCAGAGGGCAGGCAGGACACCGTGGTTAGGGCTGCAGCAGCTGCGTTATTGGGGTGCAGGCTCAGCATGGGCAGAGGGGTGCTGGATACCGTGGTCAGGAGTGCAGGGGGTGCAAGATACCGTGGTTAGGGGTGCACAACAGTGCGGCAAGGGAGTGCAGGGGAGTAGAGGAGGGATGCAAGGGGGGGCGGGGGGGTGCAGGGTACCTTGGCCCGGGCTTAAGGGGGGGCGAAGGCACCGGAGCACCCACCCGCGGGGTGCCGGGCGCTGCTGCCCGGCCCCGCTGCTCGGCCCCCCGCCGCCCCCGGCCCTACCTCAGCGCTGCTGCCGCCGGCGCTGCCCGCCCGGCCCCGCTCCGCTCCGCTCCGCTCCGCCCCGCCGGCAGCAGCGCGCAGGAGGCGGGCAGGGGCGGGCAGGGGAGGAGCGGGGGACGCAGGAGGGGCAGGGTGCACGCAAGGGGCACCGTGCACCCTCCTGGCCCCACACTAGCGGCAGAGAGATGTGGCTGGAGCTCGAGGGGCCCCACGGCGCTTGGGGACACATGCAGAAACCAGAGCAGCATCAGTTTATTGGCCTCGTGACAGACGACACCCTGTCCTGCCAGCAAAGGACAGTCCTGTCCCCTCCCCGCCACCCTTGGGATATCCCAGGAGGGAGCAGCACTCCTCATGCCAGTCGCCTGTGCCTCCCAGTCTCTCGGACGCCCCAGTCCCTCTGCTTGGCAGGGAGGAGGCACCGCTCACTTCAGCTGGCGCAGGAAGCCCAGAAGGGCCTGGTGGAAGTCCTCTGGCTTGTCCAGGTAGCAGGCATGGCCAGCACCAGGCAGCACGGCCACACGGTGCTCAGGGAGGTGCTGGAGGTTCTGCAGGGCCTGGGGAGCCAGGCGGGTGTCACGGTCACCATACAGGATCAGGGTGGGCGTCTTGGTTAGGGGAGAGAGAAAACAAGAGCAGCTGTCAGAGGGGTAAATGGCCACCACTCCCCCTGGGCTGTGCCCACCTCCTTCCATCACCACAGCTGCAAAGCTGAGGGGAGGCAGGTGCCAGCACCACCCTGAGCTGGGGGTCACAGGTCCCCCTCACTCACCCCAAAATAGTGCCACCCTCCACATCACCCTGCAGCCAGCTGGCCCAAAAGGCTTGCCAATACCTAGGACAGCCCCCAAGAGCCCAAAAACGCACCTGGACTCTCTGGTACTGCTCAGCAGTGTAGTCTTTGGTGCCCACGGGTGCGATGGGCACAAAGCCAGCCAGCCGGTCCCCGTGTGCCAGGAGGAAGGGCAGGGCAAAGCGGCCACTCATGGAGGGGCTGATGAGAACAGGCCTCTGCATGCCCAGCTCCTGGAAAACATGGTCCAGGAAAGTCCTCCGGCCCTGTGCTGTCACTGCCATCTCCAGTGGGGGCGAATCCCCATAGCCTGGTATGGAGAAGAGGACATAGGGTGGTCAGGGGGCATTGTGCAGCCTGCAATGGTCTCTCCTCACCAGGATTCAAAGGCTTGGCAAAAAATGGATGCTTGACAAAGCTCCAGGCTTGTACAGTCGCAGCCATCAAAGCCACAGGACACAGACAAATCCCATGCACATTGTGCCAGGGATCACCAGTAACTATCCAGAGCCCTCCCTAAAGAGATCCAGAACCCAGCAGTGACTAAGGCAAGGGACAGGAACTGCCCAAAGGGATCAGCTAAGCACAGTGCCACGGTCCTACCAGGCAGATCTATTGCGACCGCACGGTAGCCTTCTCCAGCCAGCAGCGCCAGCGTGCCCAAGGCCTCCCACGTCTTGGAGGTGAACGCCTGGCCGTGCAGGAGCAGGACATCGGGCCTGCGAGGGGGAAGACAGGCGGGAAGGGGCTCAGGAAGGCTGCCATGCCTGCAGCGCCCGGCGACCACGGGGGCTGGTGAAGACCGAGCCCAGGGCCTGGCACCCCCCAGCTGCCGGCGGGCTGACCCACCTCCCGGGGCCGACAGCTGCTGCGGGAACCTCCCTGTAGAACACGGGGGGCTCTCCCGCAGCCATCCCCGTCCGCACGGTGCCGTTGGCCGCCCGCCAAGCCCGCTTCCCCTCTTCAGGCCGTGAGCGCCGGGCGCCCGGGAGCAAGAGGTACAGGAGCAAAGTGAGGAGCGCCCCGAGGAGCAGCAGCCCCAGCCGGCTGCGGGCAAGCAGCATGTCCGCTCCCGCTGGACAAGGAGAGCGGCAGCGCGGGGCTGCGGGACCGCAGCACCGCTGCTGCGGGAGAACAGGTCCCGGTCCTCGCTGCTCTACTCAGCTCGGGCCCAGCCCGAGCCCCCGGCCGGCGCTCACGGCCCCGTCAGCCCCGGCCCTGCCGCCCCCCGCCCGCCGCGCACGGCGCCGCTGCGCCCTCGGGCCCCGCCTGGCGGCAGCACGCGACACTACAGTCCCGACGAACAACGGCCGGAGCCCGCAGCGGAGCCCTGGCTCGGGGGATCGGCCGGAGCTCGGCCAAGCTCGGCAGAGCTCTGCTATGTTCGTCCAGGACTCGGCGGCTCTCGCCAGAGCTCGAGCAGGGCTCGTGTTGGGCTCAGGCCGGCACGGCAGAGCTCGGCCTGGCTCGGTAGAGTTCGGGTAGGGCTCGGCTTCGCTCGGCATAACTCGGGTTCGCTCGGCAAGACTCGGCTTCGCTCGGGAAAGCTCGGCTTCTCTTGGCGGACCAGGGCTCGGCGAAGCCCGGCCCGGCGAGGCCCCAGCGATTCCCGGGGCCGCCCCGGACTTGCGCTTCATGAGGCGGTGCCGCCGTTCTCGTGCCCGCCCCGCCGGTCTTTGGCCCCGGGGCGCGGCACCCCCAGTCCCGTGGTGCGGCGGGGAGGAGGCGAGCGGCGGCCGGCCCCGTGTGCGGAGCAGCAGGTAAGGGCTGCAGGCCCACCGCTGGACGGGGAAGTGGACGCAGGGGCGGGCCGGTGAGGCCGCCTGGCACGTCAGTGACCCCGGCGGTGCCACCACAGTGAAGATGATGCCGGTGTGACCGAGGGGCCTCTTGCCTTCCTGCTGCCGCCGGGCCTCGACAGCAGCAGAAGGCTTGTCAGCCCTCCCATTCCCACATCTCGCCCCACTTAGCAGCACCCAGGCACCCAGGCATGGCCACCCCTCCAGTCACCGAGAGCACTGTCACGGTGCAAGGACAGACCCTCTTCTACCGCCAAGCTGAGCCAGCCCAAGTGCCGAAGCTGACCGTGCTGCTGCTCCATGGCATCCGCTTCTCCTCCGAAACGTGGCTGCAGGTGGGGACACTTGCCACGCTGGCCGAGAATGGCTACCGAGCCGTGGCCATCGACCTGCCGGGTAAGGTGTGGTGAGCACAGCCCTAGACTCAGGCAGGGTCGCCTCCGGTTTGTGTGGCCAGGATGGCAACCCCGGTGTCCTGTTGTGCTGTGCTGGCTTCTCCCAGTCACTGAGGCGGTGTGGAGCCTGACAGGGCCACTTGTGTCTCCCATGATTCAGGGCTGGGGCGCTCAAAGGATGCTGTAGCCCCAGCACCCGTGGGCCAGCCAGCACCAGCAGCATTCCTGAAGGCAGTTTCAGAGGCTCTGTGCCTGGGTCCAGCTGTGGTGATCAGCCCATCACTCAGTGGCATGTACTCGCTGCCCTTCCTCTTAGAGCACAGCCAGCTCTTCAAGGCCTATGTACCTGTGGCACCCATCTGCACTGAGAAATTCACGGCGAAGCAGTATGCCCAGATCAAAGTACGGCCTGGAAGGGCACTGGAGAGGTCAGGGAGCTGGGAGGGGGTGGTGAAGAGGGGACCCTGCCACTGGGGTTGAGCAGGGGAAAGGCCAAACAGGCCAGAAAACCTGTTGTCACTGAAAGAGGGGAACGGGATGAATGAGGAATGTAAATGTGGGGTAGTGTGTGGTAAAGAGGGGACAATTGGAAACCCAGGAGTCTGAACTTCAGTTTATCTTTGTGATACTGGGTGGGGGTGAAGGGCAAGTGTCTCACCTCCAGGGTGTTCCTGACAGAAGGAGTGAGTGCCTAGGTGACACTTGCAGACTCAAGGTGTATTTTCCCTCTACAGACCCCCACACTGATCGTGTACGGGGACCAGGATGTGGAGCTGGGGCAGACCAGTCTGAACAACCTGCAGCACCTCCCTGAGCACCAGGTGCTGATGCTGCAGGGTGCAGGACACGCCTGCTACCTGGACAAGCCCAATGAGTGGCACCGTGGACTCCTGGCCTTCCTGCAGAAGCTGAAGTGAGCAGGACTGGACCACAAGGCATGGGGATGTGGCCAGCCCACCCACCCCTCTGCCTGCACATGCACCCTTGTGCCAACCCAGGTGCTCGGCTGGCACTCACACTGCACTGGCCCACACCAGCACTCACCTCTCTTGAGACCAAATAAAACCCCACGCTCTGCCACTGCTTTCCTGCCACCTTCAACCTGCTTCTTTTCCACCTTTCCCACCTCCTTCCCCCATCCCTTTTTCCATGGCTGCTGTCCCACACAGGTTTGGGATGTGACAACAGGGAAGATGCAGCCACTGAAGGATGGTACATTTGGGGATTGTGGATGGGGGAATGCCAGCCTTGCTGGAGCCCACCTGTCACTTCTGACAGGACCCTCATGAACCTCAAAGGGTGCCCAGGGAGCCCTGGGGCTGTGTTCAGGGACAGGTAGGTCCCCCAAGGTAGTGACATCCGTGTCCCCAGCTGGCCAGCCTCCTCATCATCCTCCTCTTCCTCCTCCTACCCTTCCTGGCATTCACCCAAGTCCAGGGTAATCCACAGGGGCTTAAACAGGAACTGCCAGCCCTGGAAGGCTCCTGCCCACGGCAGCATCCACTCAGCACCATGGGGAGGTGGGGGGCGATTTACCCAACGAGTGGCTGCCATGAACAGATGAGGGGGCAGGCAGGGAGGCTTGACAGACGGGGGACAAGACCCCTGCCTGCCACCTGCCTTCTCTGCCTTTGGTGCTGCTGCACTGGGCACTCAGGGACGCAGATGGAGCCAGCAGCAGGGTGCCCCCCCAGTGCCCCCCCTTCCCCAAGCTTGCCTGGGCTTTAGCTGCTTACGCTAGGGCCCAGGAGGATTTAGTGGGGGAGGTAAGGGGGGGGGTGGGGTCACTTTTCTGTGGGTGCAGGATGCCCATGTGGGGGACATAAGGCAGTGCCAAGGGTGCAGAGGGTGGTCTCTGCCCTGGCAGTCCGGCAGACTCCTGTCTGGAAGCATCCCTGACCGCCCCAGATGGCTCAGGTCCCCTGTTGCTGTCCCGACTCCCCCCCCACCCATACAGGGGTGCCTCCTGCCCCTCCAGGCGCCACCTCACAGCAGCAGCCGGGGATGCCAGCGGGCCTTGGGGTGCCAGCTGCCCCATCCCTGCCCGCTCCGGTGTCCTTGAGCCCTCGA